TTCCAAGCTCAGCTCACCCTCCCAGAAGCCGCAGGACCGGTCATTCCCCGAGGAACGGGGAGCTCACCACGAGACCCTGCACGGAACGGGCATCGAGTGCTCCCCAGCGAGCTCTGCCACTCCCGGGAGCCGAGCCGAGCCCCGAGCCGCCACCGCAGCCCCCCAGCCCCTCCCGCCGGACCCCGCACAGCTCCGGGTACAGCCGGTCCCGCGGCGTCCTCCGGGAAAACCGGGAGAGAGCTGAAGGAAAACGGCGGGGAAAGGATGGGGAAGGGAGGGGCGGGGAGGGTAGGGCGGGGGCGGGGGAAAACCCGGACTGGATTTTTCCCGGAGTACGGAATGGGGGAAAACCCGGACTGGATTTTTCCCGGAGTACGGAATGGGGGAAAACCCGGACTGGATTTCTCCCGTCGTACGGAATGGGGGAAAACCCGGACTGGATTTTTCCCGGAGTACGGAATGGGGGAAAACCCGGACTGGATTTCTTTCGTGGTACGGAATGGGGGAAAACCCGGACTGGATTTTTCCCGGAGTGCGGAATGGGGGAAAACCCGGACTGATTCCACTAAGGCCGGCGCCGCCCTGCCCCGCAGTCTCAGAGCGCCACAGCAAAAACGGCGCTGCCGTGATCGGAATGTCTCGAGACCAACACCAAAGATGGCGGCGCGAGGCCCCCACCCCCTCTGCTGTAGAGAGGCGTCTATCATGTTGCCTGACCTCCAATCCGTCTCCGAGCTCCACCCCGCGCTCGCAGCGCCGTCTCGTCGCTGTGCTTCCCGCTGTGGGGACGGGTCGGGGCGCTCGGGGGACAGGGCAGGGCGCTCGGCGGCGCCGGGCGCGGGCGGCAGGCTCGTGGGAGGCGGCAGGCACCGGTGCGCGCAGCCCCGGCGGTGGCCCGAGGCCCCCGGCGGTGCTCCGCTCCCCTCACGTGACGTCTCTGTTCGGTCCCGCCGGGCCCGGCCGGTGTTGTCGGGATCTCCCCTGGGAGCCGCACGCGGCGGCAGAGACAACTTCAGGCTCTCCAGGAGATCGTCCCCGGGGTAAGCGGGGCCCGGCGGGGCGCCCGTGGGGTGAGGTGAGTCGAGTCAGAGGGACACGTTTCCCTTCTCCTGGCTGTTGGCGTTTGCTCCCTGGGCAAGGGCTCTTTTTCCCACTGCGGGCTGGTCCTTGCCGTGTGTGCTGGGAAGGGTGGAGAGGCAGGGGCTGTAATAAACTATATTTTAAAGAGGATTCTTTTTTTTTGTTAAGCTTAGTAAAACTTCAGGACATTGATATGTGATTTCCGTGTGTATTTCCCACATAGCTGTTAACTGCTTCTAACAAGCTGCCGTTTGTTCCCGAGGCTGATAAGGAAGGGGGGAGGGAAGTCTGGCAGTGTAATTGAACTACACCAGCTGGGGACAATGAGAAGCTTCCTCTAAACAAGGAGTCAAAGTGATTTATATAAGACTGGAAGGGGAGGAAAAATACCTATTAAAGGCGCATGCTCCAAGCCGGGTTCATCTTGCGGACATCGAGGAAGACTAAAAATCTTCATCACAGAGACCCCGGCCCACAAAGAAACCCCCAGACCACGGACGCCGGTAACACAGCCCAGGAACATGCATGGGGAAAACTTTGCAACTGAGCATGTGCAAAAAGCACATGCCCCAGACTATGTATGGATAAGAACCTATGTACTGAGCATGTCTGGACGGGAACCCGGAGGGTTCAAAAGGGGAAGTTTGAGAGCTTGGGGGGGCGGCGGCGAGCTGTGAGAGAACTTTCTTTTGTTCTAAACAGCCCCCGCCCTCCCTGCGTGTGCCGATTGTCTATCTACCGCTTATTAATAAATTTGCTTGCTACTGTAAATTGGCTTCTTCAATTCCTTTAAGGCATTGCTGGTAACTTATACAGGGGCGAAGGGCCGGGTGACGGTGGGGTCCCAGAGCTGTGGGGTTGGGCTGTGCTGAGAGGGGCGGGCGGGTCCCCATGGGTGAGCCTGAGCATTGGTTTGGGGGTTCAGGAGCCCGGGGGGTGTTTGCAGCTCTGCCAGGGCTGAAGCTGGGCTGGGCCGTGGAACAGACACAGGGGAGCTGGGGGAGGGTTTGGGACTCCCTGCAGGGAAAGGGGGGCTGGATGGAGCCACGGGCTCGTGCTCGTGGGCAGACGCTTGTCCAGGGCGCTGGGATCCGCTCAAACTCCAGTTGCCCTCGTGCCCAGGGATGCAGGGTCTGAGGGATTGGATTTCCCTGTGGCTTTGCAGGAGAACAGGGATGAGAGGAAAGGCGGTGCCAGAGCTGTGTCCCACCGGGCTGTGTTTCCCTCAGAGGACAGAGAGCCTGTGGGCTGAGGTGAGATTGCTGTGAGTGTTGGCATGAGCATGCCAGGGAAGGGGGAGCTCGGAATGCCAGGAGCCGATGGAACCATTGCCTTGGGTGTGTTTAGTTTGTGTCTCTGGGAGCTGGGACTCGGGCTGGAGAGCTGTGGTTGGGAACAGAGGGTGGAGCAAACCTGCTCCGTGGATTCGTAAGGAAGGACAACCCGGGTGTGGGATGGAGCAGCAAGGGGGAGGTGGTTGGAGTTGGCCTGGGCTGGTCAGGATCAGCCACAAACAACCCACCAGACTCCTGAACCCTCCATGGACATGTCCAGCCCAGCAGCAGAAACCCAAGTCATTAATTTTCAGCAGAGGAAAAATTCTTGGTACTGGCTTATGATCTGTGGAGAATTTCCTTTGGAATGATCAAGCAGAGAGTATATCAGTGCAAAGCATCTCTTTTTTTTTTTGTTTTGTTTTGTTTTGTTTTTTGTTTGTAATTTCCTCTCTGGCTTCAATAAGTTTTGTGTGCTCCTGTTATGGAAGCAGCGTGTTTTTATCTTGAAATTTGGGGTGCTTTGGCTTATTTAGGGTTTTTTTTCCCACACTGATTCAGGCCTTCTGTGCATAATCCACGTTGTCCTACAGGACTGCTTTGGTGCTGAGTCAGAGAGAGAGAAGGGAAGTGGCTTTTCCTCCTCTGGAATGTTTCGAAGCATAAGTGGGACATCATCCTGTCCCTCCCCAAAGCTCTACAGGCACATAGGAGTAGCTCAGGGCTGGCCCAGTTCTCTGAGACAGAACCATGGGGGAGAGGTTTAAGTATTAATAACATCTCTACTGTCACTTGGTTGCAAAGATTGGGTCCTGTAGTCCCAGAGTGTTAAGGAAAACAAGGAACTCCTGTTCTTCCTGGCAAATCCCGAGGGATCTGCTCTGGGTCCAGGCTGTCCGTGCTGGAGCGCCCTGGTGGCTGCAGAGACAGAGAGAGCCCCAGCCCAAGTGGCCTTTGGCCCCTTGTGCGGAATGTGGGGTGAGCCTGGGAGCATGCGGAAGGTGAGAGTGAGGGCTGTGCTCCAGACTGACGCTGGGAAGGGCAGTGTTTCCCTGGAGAGGTGAGGTTTGGGCCCACAGGCTGAGTTTGAGGAGGGTCAGGGTGACAGACGCTGCTGCCTTTTGTTGCCTGCTGAGGTTTTCTGCCCCCGCCCCCCCCGCCCCCCCCACCGGAGATTTCCTGCCGGGCTGTGGCACCACAGGGAGCAGAAGGGAAACCTGCCCATCCCGTGGGCACTGCCAGCCTTTGTCCCTCTGTTTTCCCTCCAGCCTGGGAATTTGTTGCTGTCATTGCTGAGGCCCCCACATCTGGGGGTTGTGTCCTCCTTGTAGCCCTTCCCAGCTCCAGCCATGAGCTCCAGTTGTGCTTCTGTGTGTCTGGCAGCATCTGCTGGGACTGTGCTTCCAGTGCATCATCCCTGGAAACATCCTGTTGTTCCAGACCACTGGGGACAGTTTGGGCTCATCAGCTTCAGAGTCCCTGAAAAGAACCAGGAGAGTGGAGTTTTGTCCAAGTGCTGCTTTCACCCCCCACTTGACAGTGTGTGCTTTGTGTTGGAGGTTGTCCTGTGTTTGCACTGCAGATAATGTGCCCTTCTCAGTTCAGCTCAGCAGATCCCAAGGGCTCTTCCAGGAATGTTTGTTCTTTACTTCTCTTTGGGATACCTTAATCTCCAAACTGCCACGAGCAATTCCTTAATTTCTCCTGGGTAAACCAAGTGCCAGAGGCAGCTTGCCCAGGAGCCCAGAACTGTCTTTGGAGCAGAGACTGCTGACAGCTACCTGTGCCTATCCCTAGCCTGGCCCTGTCCACAGGGAGACACTGGGCAAATACCATTACAGGGAACAAAACCCCTTCCTGCCAGAGGATTTGTCCTGTGCAAATCAGTCCCGGGGACAGCAAGTGGACTTGGGACATCCATCAGCTGCTCTTCCCCCAGAAAGCACCATCCCCATGGGCATTAATGATGTGCCCTGTGCCCACCGCTCACCCTGGGAGGGTGGGGAGGTGGCCTGGCACAGAGAAGCTGTGGCTGTCCCTTTGTCTCCTGCAAAGCCACAGGGAAGTCCAATCCCTCAGACCCTGCATCTCTGGGCATGAGGGCAACTGGAGTTTGAACCGGATCCCAGCGCCCTGGACAAGCATCTGCCCACGAGCATGAGCCTGTGGCTCCATCCAGCCCAACCAGCCCCTCTTTCCCTCCAGGGAGTCCCAAACCCTCCCCCAGCTCCCCTGCGTCTGTCCCATGGCCCAGCCCAGCTCCAGGCTCTCCCCCGGCGCTGCATCAGCTCCAGCCCTGGCAGAGCTGCAAACACACCCCCGAGCTCAGCCCCTCGGGCTCCTGAACCCCCAAACCAATGCTCAGGCTCACAAACAGGGGCTGACGTGGAACTGAAAAAGGTTTCAAGACACTCCAGAACTCAGAAATATGTTCATGCCTTATCTGGCCAACTGTAGTGGATTGCCCATGGCCAAATGCCAGGTACCCACTAAAGCCATTCTCTCATTCTCCCTCTGCAACTACACAGAGGAGAGAAAAAAACCAGCTAAAGATTTATGAGTTGCGGTAACAGCCGGGAGAGGTCACTTACTTAATGGGCAAAACAGACTAGAAGTGTGGATATTACTTAAATTTATTACTAACAGGATTAATTGAGGAGTGAAACACAATCGATAATTGGAAAATGTCATTATTTAATGATGTAATTGGCTGCACAATTGCCATTTTCCAGTGGATCTGTGTACAGGTGGGATTTGTTGTGGGAAGGTGAAAAAATTAATTAATTAATTGCTAACTAATGGACTATTAATTAGTACTGCAGAGTGGAGTGGGGTGTGGGTCATCTGCAACTGATTAGTTGCTGCTATGTGTAACAGTAATTAGGAAATTAATTAGGTAATTAGTTACTCGCTTCATGGCTTTAATTGGTTCATTGGTTTGTTACTTAATTATTTAGTTAATTGGTTAATCAGTTAATTTTTTAAGTGGCTAATCAGTTAAATACTTCATTGATTCATTGGTTAATTACTTTATTGGTTGGGTAGTTTAGGTAATTAATTTCTAATTAATTGCTTAGTAATCAGTTGTCATTTTTGGTGTAGTTCTGATTGTCCACAAGTTAGCAGGCTTTTCATTGACTCCCCCCCCCAGTTGCAGTGGTCGGTTTTGTTCGCTGGGTGGCGCTGGTGCGCATTGTTTTTTGTGTTGCAGTTCTCCTGTTTTGTTATCATCTCTTGACCGCCATATAATTAAATTATAGCATAGCAAACTACTTAGAGAACTTCACTTAGTTTCTCTCTGTCAGATGTCATAACACCTGATTATAACTAATTGTATTTTTGTATTTGATAAGCACCACAAATTTTGTTAAGATAATGTATAAATCTGAAATGGGCTAAACAGTATAGAACTTACATTTGACTTATATTTAGGCCAGATATGAATGCTATCAACACAGGCAGATGGGAAGCTTTAATACATATTTTATGCTGTTACTTTCATTGAAAGTAAAAACAGAATTTAGTTTTTAAGGTGGAAATCAGAAAGATAAACTATTCAGATCATTCACAATTACGTGTGAGAATCGTGGATGGTATATCAATATCTACACTGCAGAGGTCTGAATCTAGGATTATAAGTATTTCATTTTCCCCTTCGCTGATGTGCAAATATATTACGACTGTGAAGATACACAACTCAAACCCAAGTGCCCTGAATGAATCTCTAAACTTTTAAATTTAAATTGTCAGGAGTATATCTGAGTGGAAAAAATATTATTCTTGTTAGAAAATTTTAGTGTAATTTTATTGCATTTTTTTACCTAGATATCACAGGATCTCAGTTACAATATTGTGTTTCCTGCAGGACTGAGATTGCAGCAAAAAAATCTGTCATTACTGAATCTGGGTTAGGTTCATTAGTTTGGCTGAAATCTCAACGCAGTAACAGAAGGTGGATGTAAGTGAGCTACTCAGAGTTCTACTGGAGTGAACACCCCCTTTCTTTCCAATGCAGGAGGAGATGCAGTGGGCATTAAGGTGATTAGCCTGGTTTGAATGGAAGCTCCCAATCCACAATTTAAAGGTGAGATTCTAAAACCAAATATGACAAATCATATTCTCTTAGAACTTGCTTTTAGTCAGGAAGAAATTGTATAAAGCTACACAAGACAATGATATTTCCTAATATAAATGATGGCTAGTAAGGAGACATGATGCAACTGACTTCAGTGACAGATCAAAAATCCAAGGATTTATGGCAACCAAAGTATTACTTCTCGTGATTTTTAAAGCTGCACACAAATCTTCCTCTAGACAGTCAGAGGAACAAAACACAGAGGATAACTGCAATGATGTATTACTGTTTGTTTGACCTCGTTCCTCACAAGAAGAGGACTTTAGATCAAATGTGTTCACACCAAGGCTGACTGTGCCCTCCTTATAGTTACTTGCCGACTGAAAGTTGGGCCTTGGAGAATTAACATTTTAACTATTGGACTTCAAAAAATATATTCCACTCTTTCTATGGCAGTGAAAATACACCCTTGTTTCAAGAAGAAATATTATCTACCACAACACAATTAAAAAAAAAAAAAAAAGACAATTACAGACAGACTATGAGGTGTAAAAGCAAACCACAGTATCCCAGTGAAACCCTGTAAAATCAGTGCTTTGATATTGCTGACTGACCACTGGATGCCACTACTGTTCCACTGAACTAAAGTTGTCATCTTCTGACTGACCTACTACCTCAAAGAGGAGAGTTTAAATACCACCACTATGCGCAATTTTCCACAGAAAATAAGCTGTTAGATTTGTAATTATTAATGGCTTTTCAAGTGTTTGGTGTGTCAGTGGCATATTTCTATTGAAATTTAATGTTCTAATTATCTGAAATTTGAGCTAAGAAAACAAATTACAGCCCTTGGCTGTGGAATGGATTTCTGTGAAAATACACTTAATAGTTTGGTGCCTTAGTTCTCACATGTTTAAAATTAACACCACTTCTGCTCCCTTTTCTCTGATAAGCCTTCAGAGTCTGGGGTTCTGTGCTTATTTTGGAGTGCTGAACTATGACACAGGTTTGTTTATTTGCAGACAATAGAAGAAGTCTTGTTTTCATGACGGGGAAGAAATCAGATAAACCACACACTGTTCTTGTGGACACCATATTACACTCTTCATTCACTGCTTTCTTCTGAAATGCTATTTTCCTGCTTTTCAAGAGCTGTGGGAGCTTCTCTTTATTTTTTCGGTGCTACTTTTTGCTCTTTGTCCTTTACAAACACACTGCATCAATGTCAAACACTTCGAAGTGCCTTAGTGTTTGGTAATGGCATTAGCACAACTATCTCAGCAGCTATCCTAGTGAAGGAGAGCAGTTAAATGCACAGGATTCAGTGACATTTAGCCCTGCCTATAGGGGTATTTTATGAGTGTGAGATGTTGAACAAATTTCTACGTAGTTTTTTCAAATGGAGATTGAAACAGGTATGCAAAATACTGCACATATTCTCTGAAGATGGTGCATGTGTAGTACAGGACACGTGAACAATTGTTTCATGTTATGAGTTGCTATTGCTACTAACATCAAAATTTGTCATGAAGTATCTGCACCACTGAAACCCTTCAACACAGTTGAACTAAATGGCATTGTCTGTGTTGCTCCTTACCTCATGAGAGGTCTCTTGAACCATTAACAGTCTCAACAATTTCAGAAGGGAACCTGAGTTGCTGGAGGCTTTGTAGCCATCTGATGTTCTACCCTCCTCCACAGGTCCTTGGTGTAAATCCAATGAAAGCTTACCTGGTGCCTGCCTCCCAGAATGGAAGGAAAATCTGAGTGCCTATGGTACGCCTATCATATGTGGAGATAGTTAAATGAGGTAAATAAATGCTCCCATCTTTCACCAGAAATAAGGTTGCAGAGAGAGACATGTGCTGGTGTAGCTCCCTGAGAGGGATTAGTATCTAAGGCCTCATTGACATTAGATCTGGGGAGTCCCATTCTTCTCCTCATTCTTTCTTTCCCCTCTCTCCTCTCCTGGATTGTCTTACACTGGCTCTAGCATATGTGGAACCATCCGTGAAACAATTCACTTGCTAAGCTGTTGGAACACTAGCCCTGCAACAAAAAAATTGTAATAAATAGAATTAATGGGCTGAACTGACTCAGACTAGGGTACAATAAAAACCAGGACTTGTGCAAAAGCATAACTGTGTAGACATGTTTGGGGAGGAGCAGTGAAACAGTGACAACCCGTGATTTAGTTGGCATCTTGTCACTCACCCTGAGGCACTCTTGTTCAAAAGTTTTGGCTGTAGTTTCTTTTCTGCTGAGTCATCATCCTTTTTGTGTTGCACCACCTTGGATCCCTGATGCTTAGTTTGCTTTCCATGGCTCTGGTTCAGCATAATGATGTGGGTGGGGGATGCTCTGACAGGTAACACCATGTCATTCCAAGGACATTTTTGTGACTGTTGGTGTCCTTGGTCAAACCCCTGGGGACAGATAAGCATCTTCTTCTCTACTTTTTTTAATCTGTCAGGAATTAGCCTGAAGTCTCACAGTCCAAGTGCAAGAGCAGAGGAAACTTTTGGACAAAAGTTGAATGTCTTTTAAATAGTGAGTCAAGAGACTCTCATGTACTGGGGCACTGGAGGTAGAGGAGTGACTGAATTGCACAGGTGGGCTTAAGTATGTAAAGTCCTGTATCCTACTATAGGTCTCTGCATCTTTGGAGCCTCCAATGGGCTCCAGAGATATCTGTTAAGATCAGTGCGTGACTGGAGCTTCTAATGTGTGAGCTAGAACCGAGAGCAAACCTTAAAGCGCTTAGTAGTGCACAGCACAACCCACAGCCTGGCTTATGAGGTTATTTTTATGCATCTCCACAAAGAGACATGAAAGCCCCATGAGCTGGGCTTTGTCGAGACACTGTTCTTACACCAAATGACAATGAAGGAGTCACAGGCTGCCACTGGCCTACTGAATAACAGGATCAGACGTTTTAATGAGCTTCTGCAAGTCCAGTGTTTGTCAGCCCTGCTGATTTGTAATCAAGGAGGACACTGCTATAGAAACCACTCCAGCAAACAGCATTTTTGAATATACCTAAGAAGATGAGTTTGAATTGAAATGCAAACAGACTGTGAATCAGTCCACCTCTTTCTGAATTGTAGGACCCTGTTTGCCCTACTGTTCATGTTATAGTTTAATCCAACTTGAATTTAAGTTTTCAGAGGTATTTTGTATATCTCATTTCACAAAGCAACTAGTTTCCTCTGGTTCTTTAATATTTTTCCTGTTATAATTATTAATCCCACTTTTTAGCAAAGAATTACAAAGAAAAACTATAAATAAATCTTCAAAATTTCTCTAATAATTTATTCTATAAAATACGTTTATTAAAGAAATGGAACTAAAACTAATTTCAAGAATAATTGCCTATATGGCAGAGTGGAACAGCTACGAAATAACACAAGTTGTTTAGGCGTTTTAAACTGCTGAATTATAAAGCGAAATGAAAGGATTCTGCACATAATTCTTTCAATTAGATTAAAGCAAACCCAAGTAAAGAAGGAAAAAACTGTTTAAGGAATTGTACTCTTAAAATCTGGGTTACTGTCAAAGACCTGACATCCACTACAGGATATTTATGATGTTACTCAAGAGAGCACAGAAATATTTGATGTTATCCTTTACTGTATCCCTTAGGACCCCAAACTTGCAATGACATCCCTCTTTCCCTATACCAAAATCCTACTTATGAACACCTGTTACAAACCACGTTAGAAAGGTGTGTCTTACTTCTCACTGTAGTTTACAAAGACTATGATATACCAAACTGGTGTATTATCAATGAAGGATTGTGTTGGGCTACATTTTTCCATAAGGTAAAATTTCCTCTCACCTGAATGTATCTCCCAAAGACTTTTCCTTTCCTGGCCAGCCTTTTAAAAAAACATAACCAAACCCGATCCAGGATGCACAGCAGAGTGCTTGGGAGAGTTCTCCTTTGAATAGCATCAGCTTCAGGAACAGCTGCTAAGATCAAATGGACAAAGGGAATTCAGCACCACCCACTCTTTGTATTATCTTTTAAACCTCAGGAGCTTAATCCTTTCTATGAACAAGGTCTGTTGTCCCGCTTGCCATTATCACTAACATATATTCTGGGTAACTCTGCTTTCTCCTAGGAGTGCACCTGCAGCAAAGCTACAGTATAAAGGTCCAAAGTCTCTGCAAATAAACTGGGTCATAAAATGGAAGTTTTCTTCTGCACTGCAAGGAATGATTTCCTATGGCCTAAATAACAGTAAAAAGAATTTAGTTGTTAAAAATGTTTATTCGTGTTTTTGCAAAGGTAATAAGAGCCAAAACAATAACCAGTATTTCTGCAAGCTGACAGAATGTGCTTCCAACACAGCAAGAAACAGTCAGTTTACCAGCCCCATGATCTCTTTCGTCTGCCTGGAGAGATTGTTATAGTCTGCCCATAAACGAGAGAAATAACTTTACTTCCTACATATAGGACAGGAGCATATTTCATTTCTGGGAGTTAAATTTTTTTGAGAATTTTGGAAGGCTGACTTTGACTTTATTTGGCATTTTTCCATTCTCAAGTTGACCTTTGAAAACCAGAAATGTTGAATGAAAAGGAATCTGGACTCAGAGCAAGCAGCATGGAAGAGATGTAAGGAGATTTATCACAGCTACTTTTGTGACAAGAAAACCTACAAGGCTCGTTTTCCTTCACAATTCCATCCCTTATTGCATGTCCACTTGGTGACCCTAAGAGTGAAAATGTTAATGTATTTCCTGTATCCTGTGTTACCAATTTCTTATACAGAAAAAAAAAAATTAAAAAAAAAATCAAAATTTACCAACTTGGGTGGATAACTGACTTTAAGAAAGAGTGTGTAATTATAATGTATTAAAAATAAGTATTTTATATCCTGATTCCTGTGATTTCTTTGTGATGGTGTCTTTCCAGTCATAATAGCCATTCTGTCTACTGCATTCTAAGCCTCTTTCCTGTCAATAATTGTTTTATTACTTTGTGATCTCATCTATAACACCCTAGCTTCTGAAGAAATGATGAGAATAATCCACAATCCCTTACCTTTACTTTGTTTAGATGTCTGTGATGTGTGCTCTGAGTCCTCCAACAGAGTATTCTCCTCAGAGCTAAAGAGAATATTGGACCATTAAAGGTAAGGGTACAGAGAATGGAGGTGAACAGTCTTTAAATACTCATTAATCACTAGGAATTAAAACTGAATTAGAACTTTTTTTCCCCCTCAGCAGAACTTGTTCTGGTGACCTCATCTTAAAAAAAACAAAACAAAACAAAACAAACAAGAACACAAAACCCATAACAGAATAGGGTTGATAATATTGAAAATTATTGTTTACTAACCTGGAAATATATTAGGATGAAGAGGGTCAAATTTGGAAAAGGCAACACATCACGTATCATCACATATTTAGTGGTGTGATGTTGAACAGTTTAACTGATGTTCTCTGGGCAATAAGGCACATGCCAGACTGGGTATCTTGGTGCTCCTCCACCATCACTCCCAGACACAGAGAAGGCTGTCAGATAGGTGAGGTCTTCCACAGAGAGGCATACTTGTGATAAATGACTGGGAGAATAACCCATTGAGAACAGCTGTAGAGAAGGACTTAGGGATTCTCGTGGATGAAAAGCTGGACATGAGCCATCAGTGTGTGCTCACGGCCCAGAAGGGCAACCCTATGTGGGCTCTATCAAAAACACCACAGCTCCAGGTCGAGGGAGCTGATTGTCCCTCTCTCCTCTGCCGTCGTGAGAGCCCACCTGGAGCACTGCATTCAGCTCTGGAGTCCTCAGCACAGGAAAGACGTTGCCCTGACAGAGTGGGTGCAGAGGAGGCCACAAGATGATCAAAGGGCTGGAGGACCTCTACTATGAAGACAGGAAGGGAGTTTCTAAAAGACAGAGTGACGTTTTATAGAGGCAGATAGGAGACACGGGTTGGGTTTAAACTGAAATAGGAGAGATTTAGATTCGATGTTAGTAAGACGCTCTTTACTGTGAGGGTACTGTAAGGCACTGGTACAGGTGGCCCAAAGGAACTGTGAGAGGCAATGACCTTCCAGGCCGCGCAGCAACGGCGGGCCCAGACCCCGCGGGCACCTCCCGCAGCCAAACCAGTGGTGCCCTCGCTCATCCTCCCCCACCGGCGCTAAGGGAGCCGCGCCCGAGGCCCCACCCCGCCCTCGGGGCCGCCAACAGGTGCCTGAGGCGTTGCCGTGCCCGAGCCGAGCTTGGGCCACCCCGGCGGGCGCGGAGCAGGTGCCGCCGGAGGTCTCCCGGCAACCGCCCGGCCAATGGCAGCGGGGTGGGGCGGCGCTTTAACCCCGCGGGGCCCAGCCAGGGGCTGCACCGGTCGTGGGGCTCGCTCAGAAGGCGCATCTTGCTCGTCCCTGCAGCCACAGCAGGTGGTGGGTGCGCGCAGTCCTCCTCCCCGGCAGCGGCGGCACGGCAGGAGCGTCCGGCGGGGTCGATTCCGCCCCACGCGCGGCGGTAACGGCGCTCGGCGGCCGCGGGCGGGGCGCGGGGGAGGAGGTGGCCGGTAGGGAAGCGGCTGGGGCAGCGGCTGGGGCGCCGCGGGAGGGACCGCTGAGGGATCGGCGCTGCACTGGGCAATCCCGCCCACGGGCTCGGCGTGCCCGCGGTCTGGGCTCGCCCCGGGCCGGGGGAGGGCCCCGTGCGGAGGCAGCAACCTCTGGCCGCGGCGGTGCGGTGGGTCTGGACATATGCTCCCTCCTATCAGGCTCCGGCTGACCTGCAGAGACGAGGGAGAGTTGCGATTCGGCTGAGCTTTGCCGGCTGTTCCTCCTCCGCGCTCAAAGGCCCGGCGTTTTGTTATCTCTGTTAAGCTACAGCGGCAGATGCTCGGAGGTGGAAGCCATAAAGCTTTCTACTGAGTCAGGGAATTTGTGGCGGCTCGCGTTGAGGTGCTGGCTCACGTGATGTAAGAGCACAGGTTCCGTGAATGACCTAGGCAGTTTTTTAAATCTTTAAAATTTTATTTACTTGCAGCAAAGCTCAACTGAGTTTGAAGATCAAATCGTAATGCGAGACCAGTTTGTAGTGTTACTGCATGCCCTGTTTATGTAGAAGGCTCTGCTGTTTGCTGTGCTGTCAGTGAAACAGTTACGCAGGGCTCCATAGGCTGCCAAGGTATGATAGGAATTTCAGGGCAATGACTTAAAATAGGAGGCATTCGAAATAGAACATGAATGTATCAGATAAATTTTAATAGTAAGCTTAAAAAGTAGACCTAGAGAGACGATTTGATACAATTAAGGGACATTTCAGTTTTAAGTGTTTAGCAGGAAAGACGTTATTTTGGGGATCTTTCTTGGTAGGGGAAGGAGACAGCAGAAAGCTGTGGCACTATCAGTTATAATTTGGACTGGAGAAAGCATAGGAGTGGGTAATATCAAGCTCATTGGGTTCAATATCTTGTTTCTGAAGCTGGCAGCAGATGCTAAGGAAAAGATGGTAAGTATAGGTTGGTTCCACAGCAATGCTTTTATCTGTGTTTCCTCCCAGTATACCACAGTCTGGAGCGGAAGGATTTCTGAGCAGAGGTTGTATCTGGCTTTTTAAATTTAATAGCTGCTGATGGATGTTTTTCAAAAAAATTAGAGGCAGTTTATATATTTAGTATTCATAGCACTTTATGGTGATGTAAGTCCACAGTTTAACTATACGGAAAAATGTTCTTATTTTCCAGCTTTTGCAGTGAATGTCTTATTTCACTCTTTATAACTGCTGTGTTAAAAGAAACAATGAATATTTGTTTTCTATATGTTGGTCCTATTTCTCTAGCTGTTTCCTCTTCTACCTGAAAGTCATAGCTTATTAGTTTCCTGGATGAAAGCACTGGTTGACCTTGTTGCACTGTATTCAGGTCCGTTCTGCCTTTTTTACAGGGAAGGTTGTACCTGTGTGATATTTTAAGCTGGAGAAGCTCAGTGTTCATACAGAGGCATAATGATAGTCTCTTTCTGTCCCCTGGTCCCGTGTAGTGTTAACTGCCTGTGAGATGTTATTTCCAGAGGACTAATCATAGTGACCCTGGGATCTCTTCCCACATGATAATGCCTAATTACAGGCTCTTGGTTTATTTAGTATGAGAACAACCTTCTGCAGTTTGTCATTCAGTCTGGGTGTTTAATTTTGTGAATAGCTCTATACAGTGCATGAGTACACCACCTGTTCATCACCTTTTTAAATTTACTAAACAACAGAGATGCCTGCACAGACCACTTTGGGACTCTAATTTTTGTCTCTTTGGGACTTTCATATATTCTTCTCATCCTTCTTTACCTTATTACTACATTTTGCCCTTTCTCATTTATAGTCGGTCATTAATAAATCCTCTGACATCTTAGTTTAAGAGCCTTTGGAAGGACCATTGTGAAAAGGTTTTTGACAATCCAATTATGCTGTCTTGCCCAGGTATGTTAGATTATTCCTTCTTCCAGAGCACCATGGCAGACTCATTAGTGTACCTTCCTTCCACAGAAGGTATGCTGACATTTCACCAGTCCTGTTCATTTGCAGCTGACAAGTTTGTTCTGTGACACGTTTTGATTAACAGAAACCTAGAATTTGCCTGAGAATTATTCTCTTAATTCCCTGGTAATCTTTAAAGAAATTAGTTAACTTCTTGCATTCCATGCTTGGTTTAACTTGCAGGTTATATGCTACTGAAACTCGTGAGTTTCATAATTTCTGATGTCTGGAGTACCAGTTCTGGCTCTGCCTAGTAAATATCTCACCAACTTTAGGAACTAGTAAGGTGGTGGTTTGTCTTGTTCTGGTATTTTATTTGTTTGGTTTTTTCTTTCTCTTTCTTTTAAGAAGTTGTCTGCTTTGCAGAGACAGATGAGCTATAGAGTTGGGCTAAAGTTGATGAGGAGACATGCAGAAGATGGTTTCTGAGGTTTCCCTCTTGTCTGTGATGTGGAGAGATTTGGTAACAGAGTGTTCTGCTTCAGCTACGTGTAGTAAGTGGTTTGTAAATACAAAGAGAGAAATACCGTTCTGAAGATTAACAATAGAACTATTGTTTAATGTTAGGAAAATGCTAATGTGAAATTCATCGTGTTACTTCAAAATAGGGTAGGAATTTGAGAGCCAGATGAAACATTTCCATATGTTTCAATTTTTTCAATAATTAACAGTGTTTCAGTCAACTGTGTATGTAAAATGTAGAGTTAAATCTTGAGGTAGTAGATCAGATTATATTCCTTGTAACCTGAGTGTTTGAGGCAAAGACCATGACACAACAGTCATTGAACACTAAGTTTTATCAGATGTGAGAGTATATTCTTGTGTGGTTATATGGATTGAGAAGATTGACTAGTTAATTTCATTAATCCCTTGTTTATTTTTTAGTTTGTTTGTTTGGTTTTCTTTGGGGTGCCTTTTTTTTTTTTTTAAAGTAAAATAGAATGGAGAATTGTAATTGGGATTTTCCAAATATGATGCATTCAGAATGAAGCAGAGACTTAATACCCACAGCCTGGATGGTTTGGCTTGCTTTTTCACGTTACTTTGGACAATAATGGGAAGTTTAGCTGGAAATCTGACATTACTTGACGTTCCCATATAGTGTGGATAAGGGGTTGTCATTCCCTCATGCTCATTTTGAAGCTGATAGAAAACTGGCAATTTAATCATTATTCTAAGTGTGGGAGGAAAAATCTGGGGTCTGCTTTGATTGCAAGACCCATCATTAAAATTACAAGATTAAATAAAAGTCACTAAGAGATTTTTAGAGTAAGAAATTCTTTTAACTATACAAATATCACTGAATAAGATATACATATTAGTGCTAATTATAAACTGTTATTAAAAGTTCTGTAGAGAGAGAATAAATGTCAAAACTCTTGGGAGGAAATGCAGGGACTTTCATGGCAACTACATGAATTAAAACAAGTATATGTCATTATGTTACATGGGATATATTTGTAAACGTACAATGTCTTGACTGGAGTGTATGTTAAATTTACCTAGACTTTCATGTCTTTGTGCCTATCCAGATAAAAGCCATCTGTGTGACATCTGTGGATTACTAGACAAATATAAAAGCTTTAAACAGCTTCACAGCTCCTTTTGGGTTTTATTTTAGTGGAAAAAAATCACATTGGCTTTTAAGGAAATGCTCAGTATGTACCCCCACAATTTTTCAAGTTGAAACATAAGCATGTCACAAGTTGTAGTAGTATTTGAAACGTGCAGAGAAGGAATGTTTGGCAATTTCTGATTGATGCAGACTTGAAACTTTTTTTTCCAAGACATTGCACCTCTCCAGAGGTTCCTTTCCATATCCTTTCTACCATGGGGGGGGTAAAAGTTTTCTAGGTTACCAGATACTGCATTTCCAACTTGTATCACAACCTGTCTAGGTTAAAGACCAGATGGTGCAATCTGATCACAGTACAGTGCTGTGACAAGTGATTCTCTGCTGATTGTCTGAATGAATTTTACTAACCCAGTTATGACTGCTCCTTTTCAAGTTTAAGGATGATATTTAGAAATTTTAAGTATGCTGCACTGTGTTAAGTTTATAATTCTATTTCTTACTGCTTGTGATTTTTCAGGTTTTGATATGGCCTGAACTCAGACTTTCTTAGGGAGGTTTCTGTCTCGTATCTTGACATGTTTATGGTCAGTCCGTCCCCTGTCCCCCAGAACACAAAACAGTAATTAAGAAGAGCTACTTTCAGCTCTTTGGGTTTGTGAAATGTACTATTTTTAAACTTCACCCTAAATTTGTTCTTGAAAAGAAAGATGTACTTAATTATCTAGGAGCTTCTAGAAATATTTCTGTAGACTTTTGTCCAAAAATTCCCCAGGTGCCTTTCAAAAAAGTTCTGGTATGTTATTACCATGACAACTTTTTTTTTTTTTTAAGTTCTTTGGGGTTTTTTGTACTTGTTCCAAAAAACACTTGAGTGCTTTGCCTTGATTACTACTTCTTCAGTATTATCCAAGCTCTCTGATTTAAGCGAGGTGTGTGTTGGATTTTGTAGTGAGATGGTTCTGCTGTTACGTTCATGCATTTGAAATTGGATTCCAGAGGCTCATCTTTGTACAATCCATCCATGTCTTGTTCTCTCCACTAATTTCTAGCTTGGAAGAGCAAGTGACACTGCCAACTGGCAGAATTACATCTAGAAAGCACTGGATTGTTACAAGTTTATGGGCAAGTCATCAAACCTGCTAGCAAAGTAACTAATAAATCCCTGTGTACAGGCAATGGGCACAGAAGAGAAATCATTAAGTAGTTATGGCAGTTTTAGCTGCTTAGTGGTTTTCTCTTCCACTTGCAATCACTCAGATTTTTTGCATTAGTATGAGATGCTGGGAAACAGCAAAATTAGATTTTTGCTTGCTATTGCATTTTTTTTCTAACCAGGATTGAAGGCGGGGGGGGACAAAGACAGACAAAAAACCTTCTTGCTACTAAAAGCTCGTAGCATTCTCTTTTGCAGCTGACATGGGATTGTCTTGTTCTGTACTTCTGAATTTAATTTGAAATACAGTATGTAAAGATAAATCAAGTACAAAATGCTGACCACTCCTTGAAATGATTACTTCTTTAAAGCTACTGCACTTGTCTGATGACATGTAATAATTTGAGATACTTTGGGGTAGCCTTCTAACAGTTGAAGGAAGTTCTTGAGTTTCATGCTTTTCAAATCTTGAAATTGCTGAGGGTGGCTCTTAGTCTGATGTATTAGCAGTGTGCAGTGGACTGCAGGTTGTCTTCTCAAAGCAAAAGACTCTAGAGCTTTCAAGGTTGAAAAAGAATACAGTTTCATTATCTGGACTCTATTTTACTTCTTACGTACTCTTACTTTGTCTTCACTAGACACCATTCTGAGCTTGGGTTTGTGTATTAATGGTCTGTGTTGTTAACAGTATCTCCCTAGAGAGTAGTCTTGCTAAAGCATCTGCACTGAATGAATCTGCATGTGACTCGTGGATCTCAAATTTAAAGCATCATTTCATTTGCACACCTGGACTAGTCCTGTTTCTGCTTCCAGTGAAATGTTGCTTGGGGGGAGAGATGCTGTGTCAGAATAGTATTGTCAGTGTAGAGAGACCTGTGGGTTGATAATACTGCACGTTCAGGAAACGTAGGTGATAAAATCTCATAATGGGTCCATCAGAAATGTGAGTAGTATTTTTGTGGACTTTCCAACCTCCTTAATGGAATTTGTGCGTCTTAAGGTTCTTAATGACCATTTGAAACATCTTATTAGAATGCAGGATTGTGATGTCAGTAGTGAGAACATACTTGTACCTTAATTTACTGCCTTTTTCCCTTATGTTTTCACATTTATTTGATGGATACAACAGAAATGAAACTAACATGTGAGAAGTGTGTCCTCTTAATGCTTTCAATTCCATTTTTAAAAGCATAGTTATTTAGTTCATTTCTGGACATCTTGGTTTTACAGAGGGGAAAAAATGGGAAAATATGCATAAATTTGTATGGGCTGAGAGAAAGGAGAAAAAACATTTGCTAAACAAGAACAGCAACTAGATTGTTGTATTGACTGTGTTTTAATGCTGCTTCGTGTACTTTCAGATGTGAAAGTTTTCAGGAACTACTAAATTACAACACGTGTGAGGAATAGCTATTTGCCTTTTTTCCATATAAATTTATGAACCTGGAGAAATACTCATCCATCTGGATACTTTTTTTAGGGGTGTTTTTGTTTCTTTTTTTAGTGCTGAGCATTCTATTACATGAATGTGCACCAGTATGATCTCTTAAAAACTTAGTGTTACTTTGGACAATATGTTCTGTGCTTTGTAATATTGATAAGGATTTTTATTTTCTCTGTGTTCTCAAGAGACCTTATGGATAACAGCACACTTTTTCCCTCTTCCCTTCTTTCCCCCCACCCCGCCCCCCCCAAATGATAGCTTTTTCCACAGTGATAAGAATACAGTATTTTGGTGTCAGAAATTTAGAAGTTGCTTTTCCACAGTGTGTTTATTGGAACATTAGCAGGGGGTTACGTGAGAACATCCTTGTGCTCTACAAGTCTACACAGTCCATCTAAAAAAGACTTGAAACTTTGTTCTGAAGTGTTGATTTAAAAAAGGAGCCTTCTTTCCTGTTAGGTGGAAAGTTTGTTTCCCTGAAGTATTCTTGTTCCCATAACAGCTGATGGGTTGTTCTGTCCAAATCTTAAGCATCCAAACTGGATTTAAAAGTTCCAACAGTGAGATAATTAATGCTATTATGTGTGTTACTGTGTGGTGGAGGTAGGGTGAGGAGACAAACAATCTATTCTTTCTTATGAGTGGGTGGCTTTCCTTTGGTTTCTGGAGGGTCAGTGCTGTATTGAGTGGCTGTGCCAACATGGTAAGGCTTCTCCTGTTTGTTTTTGTCAACAATTTTGGAATTTCTGCAAAGAAGCAAGCAACTTGCCAGGGAAAGGCAATATAACTAAAAGTTAATTTAAATGGTTAAATATTAGAAGTTTCTTTGCCCTCCACCAAGTATCTTCTCTAGAGCCTTTACAACACTTCTCTTTAAGTAATAATCCTACTTAGACTTATCCCACAGAGACTTATATTAAAACTTCTTATAAGTTTACTTTAATAAAATTGTTTCCTGGTTATATGACAGGAAAATACTTAATATTTGTCTTGCTGTGTTTTCTCTGACACACATTAACAGAAACAACTGAGTTATCTATAATGTGAGTTATTATTTTCACGTGTACTTGGTATTTTAGCTTTAGTTAATGGTTTACAAGACAATTAAGTTCGAAGCTAAATATTGATAGATGCATCATTTTTGCAGTGTAATATTTGCTGTGCTTACAGAGTTCCAAATGCTGTGTAAAGATGTAGAAAAATTTTACATGGTTCAAGTTCAACAGTCATTCTTCTGTGCCTGCTTTAATCTTCTAGCTGTATTAGCTGCTTTTGTTAATCTAAAATGCTCCTGCTATTTTAGGAGATGCCTACGTAACACACGTTGCCAGCAATTGTACAAAATACTTTACCACTGAAGCAGTTGCTCAGGTACCCTGCCTGTTTTTGTTGCTATGGGCGATTGGAAGACTTTTATTGTGCCAGTGCTGTCATCAGGTAATATTTTGAATATAGTGGATTTACTAATTTTACCAGTGATGTTATGGCTGCTAAAGAGAAAGACATTGGAGTTTTGTGCATGGATACTTGACTAGTTAAACAGAAAGTTAAATAACATGTAGTACAAACGGTGCTTTGTCTTCGATTGAGTCCTTACAGAAATGGTACTGTAAAATGCTATCCTTTCATATATATGGAAAGGTTTTAAAACTTTTTTTTTTTTGACACCTATCAAGATATGTGGTGTTTGTAGACGTGTCTAATTCTGTATTCTTTCACCTCATAAATTGCTTTCAAGTTTGTTAACCTGTGTAGGGGAAAGTAATTTTAAAAATTGTGTTGTAACAAGTCAATAAGGAAGAAAATTTGGACATCTTCTTCTTGGGGGATAAGTAAGACTTGAATGATACAATACCTTAATGTTATGGAGTCTTTAAATCTTCAGTGGAAGTTTATCACTTATTTTTTGTGAATTGTTTAATGTATGTCATTCTAGATGAATTCTAAGCCTTAGAAATGTAAACTTCTGTAAATAATAACTTGAGAACATAGGAATTTTATTTTTTTTAATGTGATGTATCTTAAACTATTAGCCCTGATTTGTTTGTTAATGTTCAACTTTTAGATAGCAAAAATATATTTCAATATACCTCAGAAAGAAAGAGATCTCCTACAAGCATGAACTCACAAGTGCTACGCTTGCCACTGCCTTCATCCAAAAACGTGCACAGCTTTTTCAGTGCCTTCTGCACGGAAGAGAATATTGAGCAGAGTATATCCTATATTGATAGGGTAAGCCAGGTCTTTTTGTTTATTGGAGGTTGTGTGCAGGTGACATTAAATGAATTGCAGTAAAAAAGATTGACTGGATTAAGAAGGCTTCTTCCTCAGTGCTCAGAAGCTGAAGTTGGTAAGTTGGTGGGGAGTAGGATTTGGGTTTTTCCCCTTAATTTATACAGGATTTCACCTGATACTGTTTCTGTCTTTTGGAGGATTGTGGGACTTTGATCCAGTTATTGATCTCTTTTTTCCCCCCCCATCCCCATCTTTTACCAGGAACTGACAACATTGGGTTTTCCTTCTATTTATACGGAGTCCAAAGGAAAAGAGTTAAATTTAATATCTGTCATAAATTGTATGAATGAATTGCTTGCACTCCAGCACAAGAACCTTCGAGCTCAGGAAGAAGTAGAAATGCAACATCTGAAACTGGGAAGTGATATGGATCACTTACAGAACTGCTATGCTAAATTAAAGGTAGAAAGCAAGATCATTCAATCAATATTGTGCAGTTCTCTGTACTCTTAACAGCAAGTGTTTTTTTGTTTGGTTCTTTTTTTCTCCCAAGTACTAATCTGTGGTTGTATTTTCACGTGCATTTTGGGGTTTTTGAAGTCTTTATTCCAGTTGAAAGTGCCTTAAAATTAATGAAATATGAGTCAGTGAGAGAACTGAAAGCGTATTTAGAATTATGGCCTCTTTAATCGAGGAAGAGAGAAGACTGTTCAGGTTGGAAGTGTTAATGCGTGCTGGGGGTGGAAATGTTAAGCACTTCGGCTCATATGATTTAGTATTGTTTAAAAGGGTATGCCCAGCTCTAAAAGATAAATTCCCAATATAACTGTAACAAGTAAAAGCATAAGGGAACATATCTAGGACATTACCGTTTTGATCAGTTTTTCTATATCGTTTTTTTCCACATGTTTTTGGTTTGGATTCCTTAGATATCTGACAAAAAAGTCTCTTTATAAGAATTGCTCGGAAGCAGATGTAAAACTAGAAGTTACTAAGCTTCCTTTTATGCCAGGATAAACACATGCATAAAGCCAGTTGCTGTGGTGTAGCTGATATATTGGAAGTTCACAGACTGTGCTACTTCATGTGTACTTGTATGTGCAGTTACACTAGAAGAGACTTGTCTTTCTCTTAATTCTGCCAAGAAAATAAAGCATAAAAAACCTAAACATATTTCAGTGCATGATTCAGTGCTTTTTAGGCTTGCTTTTCACTTGGGCTGGCCAGCACTCTCTCCTTGAGAAATACTGCTGTAGATTCTCAATCATAGTAGTCCTTCTGCTGAGATTGGTCATCCCTATAGAAGCATTTTGATTTGACATAAAAAGTCGTGTGTAACTGCACTCATTTTTATACAAACACTGTATAATTTCCAGAACACTCCACTTCCTTTCCCTGGATGGATAGCTTTAAGGTGAAAGGGACAAACTTATTAGGACTACATCAATCTCAGGGCATTTAATTTGGCTGTCAGCTTGTAAGGTTTCTCACGTAAATTCTTTCAATACCATACAGCAATCCTCTTTGACTTGCATTATTGTGTTACCTGTATCTAATTGTGGTTTGCTTAGAAGTTCTTGTTGCTTACATATATCTACACATTTGTCCCTCACTACAAATATGAAGGAAAAGAGCTTGTGCGTAGTGTTGAGATGTTGTTTAAGGTGCCAGTTTCAAGTCTGAGTCTCATATTTGTGGACAAAATTTTCTAAAATGCTAGTTTTGCATTATCTGTTATGAGATCATCTGTCTAGCTTTCTCTGTATATGTGAAATGTCCCATATGCTTTGTTATGGTCACAGTCTGCATGTCTCTGTCAATTATAGTCTTGTACCCTTGATTATTTAACAGAAATGTTCCAGTAAAATTTGTACAGGTTGCTTAGTATCCACCTCCCTCTCACAGTATGGACATGCTCACAGAATCTTGACCTAATGAAAAAGGCATAACTATATAAGATAATATCTGTTAAATACTAAACTGTATCCTAAGTGAGGTGGTTTGTCAGCTTGGTTTGCATGGTTTGGTTGGTTAAGTTTTTTAACTCCTACTGTTAATTCTTATTGATACTGAACTATCAACACTTTTTCTAGGAACAGTTGGAATTATCTAAAAGGGAAATAGTTGGGCTTCAGGAAAGAGACAGACAACTGCAAAGCAAGAACAGAAATTTGCACCAGTTACTTAAAAATGAAAAGGATGAAGTGAGTGATTTTGTACATTAACACAAGTCATTATGTAGATATTGAAGAATGTGTTTTTTGCACAGAATCTTGTAATTGCTTGTTTTGAATTTTTTTATTGTTGGTGGTGGTAAGTGTTGTCTTTCAAGGCAACTGGCATGTTGCATATGGAGAAATAGATTCTACAAGGGGTACATCCAAGTTACAACAATAGTAGAGAGTACTGCAGAATTGCAGATGTGCAGTTTTTGGAGACTTTTTGTGCTTTTGAGTACAACTTTCTTAGAGTGTTTAGAAACATCAAAAAGTAGGAGGCGCAACAGGATTCAGTCACTTACTCAATAGTTGTGTGTAGAGGCTCTTCTTTGTTTAGTTAGAGGAGAGCAAAAGACCCTAAAGAAGAAAGGTGAGGGGAAAATCTAGCTCAAAAGCACAGTCTCATTAAACTTAAATGTCTTGAAAGAATCAAGATCATAAAACACTTGAACAACCGTGGCACTGCGTAGTTTGGGATTTGTTTCCAGTGTGCTCCTTCCCTAGTACTGTACTTCACATGGCTCCTAAGTTTCTGTGAATGTTCTTTGTGTCCATACACATATTCATACAGTTGGGAATCACAGCACTATGTGTATATAGTGAACATCCTATTCCAATTTAAAATATTGAATGTGCTGCATGTTTGTAAGGTTAAATCTGAAAATTAGAAGAAAACCAAACCAACACACATATAGTACATGTCAAAAACGTGCTTTATGATTTTTTAACATTCTTTTAGACCAAATGGAATAAAGTGATTTCAAGCACCCTCCTGCATCAGGAAGAGGAGTTAATTTTTTTTTTAGTGTAAACCTAACAAGCCTGCTTTAGAATTAGAGTAAACCTAGATCCTGGTCATGAATTACTGAAAGCAAAGGTATGTCTTTCTCTGCTCTGTTAAATAAAGGTGTTAAAGCAGGTTTTGTGAGTTGTTGGAACATAAATTCAGCTGTACTTCAGGGGAACTGCAGTATTAAAATCTGTTGCTTATAACATGGGTTTCTGCTGAAAAGATACTACCTCCCCTGAGGTCAGAATTCATGGGTTGGGAGAGATCTTCTGATTCCTTTTGTCACTTTTACCAGAAATATAGTTTAATAGAAGCATTGTTTTGCATGCAAGAAATTTGTGTTTATAGTATATATTTGAAGAAACATTCTTTTTTTTGTGGGATTGCCTTTAGGTTCAGAAGTTACAGAACATAATTTCAAGTAGAGCTACACAGTACAATCATGACATGAAGAGGAAAGAGAGAGAATATAACAAATTAAAGGAACGCTTGCATCAATTAGTCATGAACAAAAAGGACAAAAAGATAGGTAAGTATCTCTTTGAATTTTACCACAGCAAAATAGCATAGTCTGTATCTTAACCAGAACCAAACTTAAGCATTTTTATCTTTAAAGGCAATGTGGTCCTCCTCTTGTAGATTTTTATTTAGATGTTAGAATGTTAAAAAACCCGTGTAATATTTCATGTTAACTGACTGTGTAAGACTATTCTATATTGTGTTCCATAAGATTATTTACCAAGCACAAAACAAATGCTGATCTTTACAAAAGGAAGTTTTCTTACTAAGGAAAATTTTATTTGCGATCAATTCCTAAGGTAGAGCCATCTCTCCTCTACTTTCTTGCTACTGCTGCCATCACAAAACTTTGGGTAGTGTCATAATCGCTGTATTACGCCGAGCAGTTGCCATCAGGAAGGCACAACTGCATGACCTTTTCCCCCTTGAGATACTACACTCTGGTTGTGGTTAACACAAGCAATGAGAAATTTTAGAGGAGAAGTAACACAAGATAGATGCACCATCTAGTGCTATGTGAAATGAGGACAAATCAGCTCTTCTTTATCATATGAGTACTTATATGTTGTACTGCCCAAAAATTGTGTTCAAGGCATTCATCACTGCTATTTAGCATGAATGGGTTTTACTGTTATGTATTTAAAAAAACCTGTACCTTTTGCTTTGTATATCTGGCCTTAGAATATTTATATAATTTATCTCCAATGGAAGGGAAATCCTGCACTTCTCCACCTGCCACCTCCACAACACTCAGCTATTTGCCAGCAGTAGTGAATGTTGTATTTTAGTAAACTGATTTAGTTCACTAAACCAGAAGAAAACTATTTGTGTTGTTGCCAAGATGGTATTCTGTGCATTTAGTTTTCTGAAAGTGCTTGTGAATAAGCCAAACCAGGTTACAATACAGCAGCAGGAATGCCTGTTTTGGCTGCAGAAAGTCTTTAGGTATCTTTTCAAAAGATAAACAAAACTTACATGTTCTTGATTCCAGTTGACTAGTATTAGTTCAAGTATCAGTGAGGTCAAAATAACAGGGTTTGAAAACTAGGTACTGTTTGCTTGACAGCTGACTAGAATTGAGCTTGGACCACTAATCCATAGTCATATGTTGGGTTTGGGTTTTTGTTGTTGCTGTGTGGGTTTTTTAATTTTATTCAAATATGGACAGAAGTTTCTTTGTTTTGAGGAACACCTTCTTAAACATTAGGAAGTTGCTTACCCTAAAGAGGAGATAAAATGCATTATTGCCAGAAGAGATGGTAGAGTTTATATATTGATATAAGAGTTGAAATGAAGATGAAGGTGTCATTAAGAAATGCATAAAAACAATAGGACAGGATGAGAATACATCCTTCTGAGTTTCCAAACACAAACCCTATTTTCTTTCTTTGACTGTCTTATTTTTGCTTTAAGCAGCGAATGTGGTTTCATATGGGTCTGAAGATTGAGGGGAATATTTGGGTAATGTGGTCTCTTTGCAATAACTATATGTAAATGCAATGTCATCTGAATATTTATATATTTGTATGTTGTTTCACATTTTGAAATATCCTTTTCATTTGTAGCTATGGAAGTTCTAAATTATGTTGGTAGAGCTGACGGGAAGAGAGGTGCATGGAGGACTGATAAGACAGAAGTCAGGTAGTTGTCTTAGAACAACATTAATTCAGGCATATATTATAGCGGTTATGCTGTTACTGTAAGATTATTTCTTGTAGAAATGAAGAAGAAATGTACAAAGTTCTGTTAAGTGACTATGAACAACGCCAAAAACAACTTTTAGTGGAAAATGCTGAGCTGAAGAAAGTTCTTCAGCAAATGAAGAAAGAGATTATTTCACTTCTCCCACCACAGAAACAGAAACCTAAGGAAAGGTCTGAAGATGGGCTGGTAAGTATTCTTCAGTTAAAATTAAATCTCCATGGTAGTTTGGTATAGCGCTGAAGTTATTTGAAACTTATTTAAAAAACAAGTTAACTTCTTATGAGACTTGCAGTGGATTGCACATCATGTGCTTTGTTTGAAATCCATCCATGTTTAAGTGTTCTGCTGTCTGTGAACAATATGCAGCGTGTTCTTACCAGTCAGTCAATGGAAAGCTTAAAACATTCTTTGAATTAATTTTAAATGCAGTAACTACGAGTATGTAATTTTGTCTAGCAATGCATATTGGATTTTGCCTGCCTGGGGTTTTTTGTTTGCTTGTTTCCCCATTTTAAGTGTTTCTTTACACAGGATATTTTTATGGAACGGTATACTGCCTATTCATTATTTATCAGAGGTTTTTATTATTTTTCTGATTCCCTGCTAGAAGTCACAGTTCTATTTTGATGTCAGGGTGAAGTGGGTAACTTCTGTCTCTTCAGCATTATGCTGTCAGGGAACTCAACTCTTAGAGAGTCAAATTTCCCTGGATGGAAAAATCTTTCCTGTATGTAAGGGTTTTCCTTCTCTTCAGTAAATTAAATCTGTGCGCATATTTAAATAAACACACTAATTTGGAGTGGTGAAGGGGTTTGCAGCTTTTTATTGCTACTTCTACAGGTGCTGTCAGACCTGGAGGAAGATATTGGAGAGTTAAATAAAGAGAATATGTGGGAATTATCTTGTGAAACTGTGCGAGAGCAACTTACCAACAGCATTAGAAAACAATGGAGAATGTTGAAAAGTCACGTTGAAAAGCTGGATAACCAAGGTGATCTTTAACTGTATTACATCTAGATGTAAAATACATTTAAAAATAAGTAATGCACATATGGCAGTTTGAAGTAATTGGATGCAAAATATGTAATTCCCTCTCAAGAATCTTGTCTTGCCAAATCCATATCTCTGAGACCTCTTGTGGCATTCTAAAACAAACTGGCTGGTGGTATGTTGCTGGACTCTCCTCATTTCCAGCTGTTAAACAGCATTAAGACATCTAAAAATATATAAAATTCTTTCCTAGTATTATTTTCCCATGCAAGCAAATGCAGCCACTACCACAGGGATGTTTGCAGTCAGGAGTAAGACTGAGAAGGTCATGCGTGCAATTGGAAATAAAAGAGCAGATGGTCTTTGAGAATACGTTTATACCCTGGAAAGGATTTTAGGAATACTTGCAATACTTTATTTGGTGTAACTAACTGAAAAATAAGCATCAGGAAAAATACTTCAATTATTTACTCTTTTCTTGAAGTCTTCTTTTAGATTTTTTTTTGGTTTATGGGGATGACCATAGTCTAGTCCTCTACAATTAGATTAATGTTCAAATGCTGGCATCAGGGGATCAAAACCTGGCTCATTACAGTCATTGTGATTTAGCTATGCATTAAATAAAATAAACAGGATGTAATTATACAAAATACAATTAATTCATGTAATTCATTCCCCTACTGAAATGAAAACATGCATCCCAGTGTGTTAGCTCCATTTCTCCTTCACAGGACTTGAAGGAAAATGCCTTTTTTTTTATATCTGTGATAAATATAGTCACTGTCATATTTTTATGAACACACAAGCCCTTCAAAAACAAGCTCAGAAAAATAGGCTAACAGCACGTCACTGGAAAAAAAGTCTTCAGTTCTTTTGATTTTTTTTTTTATATATTTTTTTCCTTCTATATGACTACTAAAACAAGTGAGGATTTTGTGTAGCACTTATTGCAATGCAGATGTATGGTGTACCTTGAGGAATGTGAAACAGCTATGTCTTCATTGTTGTTTTTTTTTCTGAAATGGATTTGGTGGATGAATACATGTGTAGCACCAGTTCTGGATCTCATGTCTGATGGAAATGCTTTTGAATACACTTCATATCTGTCTTTCAGGATGAAACAAGTAGTCTAAAACCTTTTACTCTTACTAGGAGTCTCTAACATGGGGGATGTTTTAATTTGTTTTTAAGAAGCTTTTCTTCCCCCTTAGTGTCACGTGGACATTCAGGAGCCTGGAATGAAAACGATGTCATTTCAAGAGAAGACCATGAGCTGGAAACTGAAAAGCTAGAGTTAGAGATTCAGCAATGTAAAGAAATGATCAAAACTCAGCAACAGCTCTTGCAGGTAGTAGACTTTATTTTTTCTTATTTTTCTCAGTTGGATCTGAGTATTTTTTTTATTTAACATGCCACTTTTCTTACCTCTGAGTCTTTCTCCCTTCTTTGATAATGCTTTTGAAATAAAATATCTTAATTTTTGGTCTGAGTATAGGTATGCTACTGGATTGGTTAATCATTTAATTAGTTTTTAATCACGATGGGAATAATTTCAGAAGCTAAACAAAGGGCAGGAAGGCTGATGAGATCAGCTGCCTGAAAAAGGGACATTTTGCTTGCTATCTGAAATTTGCCCCCATCATCCACCAACTGTGCAATATCTGCACTATTTCCATATTGAACTTCAAACATTTTTCTGATAAAACTGTATCTGTTGAAATACTGCATCTCTTAAGTCCCAAATTAATGTTTGTCTTTTGTTGCTTTATATCTGCAGCAACAGCTTACATGTGATGATGACACCACTCTGTTACTACAAGACTGCTACTTGCTGGAAGAAAGAGAACGTCTTCAGGAAGAATGGAGACTATTTCGAGAACAAAAAAAGAATTTTGAGAAGGAACGAAGAAGTTTTACAGAAGCTGCTATTAGATTAGGACTTGAGGTATTAGAAAAGGGAGCTCCTATGGAAGAGGAATTACAAATGAGTAATTCATGCTGAAGGGCAGCCATCCAACCATATCTGTTTTCTGGCACCTGTAGAAAAAGATCATTTCCATACTGTATGAAACATATCTTTGATTATTCTAAGAGATCATTCTGTTGGCAATTCAAAAAGCAAGGCTTTTGTGTGTATTGGAAAATACAGTTGCTGAAACTGGAACAGAACTTTTTTTTTTTTTCCCCCCAGCTTTTGAAATATCTGTGTATTCCAAAATTGGTAATTTTTAAACTAAATTGTTTAGATACTGCCTAAGTTTGACTTCCTACAAAAATAAGGCCTTTGCAAATTTCAGTCAAATAATGCGCTGCAGAACATGGCCATGCTCATAAATAGCATCTCTTGTGGCCACTGTAGGAGACAGAATACTGGGCTAGATGGGTAACCTGTCTGGCTCACAATACAAAATACTTCAGATTTTACTTAAGATGCTGAGACAGCAGTAGTTCACATGATGACAAATACTGACTCTGGTGAATTTAATTTCATTTGCATTTTAATGAGTTTGTGAATTTCATGTTGCACCTTGAATTCAGCTTTAAAAGTCGTGAATGATAATAAATCATAAATATTTGTCCAGAAACGTTTAGGACTACATTGCAGCATAAGTGTAATGGCCCATGCTTCAGCTTGTTAAAATGCTGAAGTAACAAGAGAAGCGATGCTGTGATCTTTGTAGGTGCTTGTGAAAGTTTGCAGTGGAGTTCAGCTTCCTCTGTTTTTCTACTGACATAAAATAGGTGCACTCTGTTTCAGTGATGGTTTTTGGAGATGAAATAGCTTGTTGCTTGGTTCCAGAGCCATTGGATCTTTTGGAGGATGTCATTTAGGCATTATTTTCCTTTTCTGTGCTCAGAGACTGGAAAATTGAACAACTCCTTTCTTTTTGGCCCAGTTTTGGACAGAAGTAATTGGTGCTCTTTTCAATGTAATTTTTCTGTTTAGAAGGTTCAAGCAGTAATCCTTTCTGGCAGCTACCCTGGATGAGGGCTACCTCCAAAAGGCAGTGCTGCACTGAGGGGGAAGAGGAGCATAGCAGGCAGAGATAAGAGAGGGTATCACTGGAGTGGAGAACAGTAAAGTGAAAGGATTAATCAGAGCCCTGTGAAACAAACCACGGGGCTTGACTTGTAAATAAGTGCCTCCACAGTTAATCCTTGTTGGACTCCAAAGCTTGCTCACGTGACAATAACTCTGTGTTAAACTGTAAGCTCTCCTTAGTTAAGTGAACATGTTACAACTTTTGATTTCTTAAATAGAATAGCATCAGTTTAATGCGGACTAAGCTTGTTCCTGTGGTCTTAAAGTGTTATTTCTTTTCCTAGAGAAAGGCATTTGAAGAAGATAGAGGAACATGGCTGAAGCAGCAGTTCTTAAGTATGACTGCTGATTGCAAGCACTCTGAAAATGTGACAACTCCAAGTGCCTTCTTAAGAAGCAAGTATTTTGTTCAAATTATGTTCTTGTACAGTATTTCTTTTTCTTCCTTTCAAATAGAAGACACAAATATGGGCAAAATCATTAAAAAAACCAAAAGTCTCAAGACAAATTTTACCATATATCTGTGTGCCTCTACAAGTTGGGTAACTGATGGTTCAAAATTTCATTTGAAAAGGGAAATCATAACTTCCTGGTAATTACTTACATAATGAAGTTGTATTTGTGAAACAATCTGTTGAATGTCAAATACGTGACAGCACAGATGTCAGGAACAGGAACTTTGAGAATTACTAAATTAAGTAAATGTGAACATATTATTTGCCAAGGCAGTTGAAGAGATCATGACCCATAGAGATCTCTGTAGATTCGAAACAAACAATTTTTGGAAACAAGCATTATGTGGAGATGGCATCGTTAATTATTCGAGATGAGGTGATATTAAATGTGTGTTCTTATATGTTCAGTAAAAAAGAATCCTTTGGGGAAAAAAACTATGAAAAGAGCATAGTGATAACAAAAATAAGTTTGAGCAATAAATAATTGAATTTTTAGATTCAAATTTCATAAATTTCTTTTGAAAATATGACTATAAGACATATAGTTTTGAATATTGTTTTTATTGGAAATATTTACTTCCTTTCTTCTACAATTGGATGTTTTTTTGAGTTAGTAAATTTATTTCCCATTCCCTCATGCATGTGCAGTGTTTGGTCTTCCCCACTGAGAATTAATTCACTACTTATATTCTTTCTAAGGGATGAGAGAGTGTGAGACAAACAGTAAAGGGACAGGGAAGGGGAAATAACAATCTCTCTTCAATAGATTCTTGTTGCGGCAGCCAAAATGTAAAGATAAATGTGTGGACCACTTGTCAAGTAAATATAGCTTGAATTTGTATTCCTGTTAGATAAAGTAGCCTACCTCATGTGTTCTGGCTTCTCTTTGTTTCTCCTCTGTGCAATTCCTACAGGGCTTCTCTAAGTGTGAAATGAAATTATCCTCCACAGGAGGAACAGAATTGAGATTGTTTGGCTGTTGCTCATGGAGAATAACTTGATTTAGTGATCTGAGAGCAACCTGAGATCTGTTTAACAGTCATTGTACACTAAAGCTTTTGATTTGTAATTGGTGTTTTCTGAATTGTAGTGTTTCAGTATGTATTTAATGTCATATTTTCTCTTCTAAATGGCATTCTTCTAAACTGTATATCCTAATCTTAAGCTACTGGATAATAGAAATAAAAATAATACATCTGCCATAAAGAGAATCGTATGCCATATGAATGTTACCCAACAGATTATCATTAGAGTTCTTTTAATGTTCAATTTTTCTTTTTCACTAAACTTGTCCAAAAGCTTTTGATTCTGTAGTGCTGTAATAAATACTGTAGAATACAGAATTATTCTTTTTTTCCAGTTGATATGAAAGCTTTGAAATCTAAATGTGAGAGAAGTTAGCAGGGATTGATCTGCCAAGTTTGCCAGGAGTTTCCATTGACTTTACTGATAGTTCAGTTCATATAAATGCTAAGGCATCTAACTTAATGCTTTTTAATCTTGTTTTCTATACTCTGACAAGTTTGCTGCTTTTCATGTTGGTGTTAATTACTGTCTGTGCATACTGGAGAATTCTGTACTTAAGTAAAAAAAGCTTTATCAATTGTAAAGTGAGAAACTACATTTGAGTAACTTCATAACTTCATACTTGCAATGGTGGCTGTATATGCAAATGCTGTGTTTTCAGATTTAGAATCCTAATTTTAACAACTTCAGTAGCATTGCTTACAAAATTTTATCACAGATGTGTAGCAATAAAATTTATTATTATAGACATACCTTAAGATATTTGCTGCATCTTTTTTTTAAAGCAGAAGACTTGAAAATTTGAAGTACTTTCTTTTTTCCAGTTGCACTGTAGTTTAACTGATAGCATTTGTATCTCTCAGGTTCTGACCAAGACAATTGGTTAGTGAAATCTACATCTCAGCAAAGGAAACCTCCCTCTGTGTTGAATGGTCCTGTTTCAGCAGAACCTTGCCAGACATCTCAGTATCTTACACATAACAGGTTTGTGAAATGGTGGTGTAGTTGGCTTTATAGTGATGAACTCTATGTAGAGCACAGGTTAAAAGCATAATCTAAACCTTACAGTTGGTATATAATAAAGGATATTAAACATAAAAACAGTACTCTGTTTCTGTGTAAGGCATAATTTATTTGCATGGTAACATTTTTCTGTTTTTCACTTCCAGTGTTGAATCAAAAAAAATTGCTGGAGACAGCATGCCAAATCTGTGGGTAGAAAATGATGACAAAGAAGAAACTGAAGAATGCACAAAGTCGTGGGAAGACTCTGGAGCTGACACTCTGCTCTGTAGAAACTTGCACATGGAACAACTGCCTTAGACTTCCTAGGGTTGCCAGCTGGGTTTTTTGTTAGAGATTTGTTCATAAACTTATCATTCTAAATGAAACAGAATGCTGTGAGTTTGATCATTCTTCTGGAGGATTATGTGGTGATCTGAATTGTGGTGTGTGTGTATGTGCGTGCACATGGCTTTTAATTTTTAGACCATTTCTTGCCTCTTTTTCTTGCAACTCTTGAAAGAAAATAATTTAAAAATATATGAAAGCTTTGATATTTTTCTAGTAAGAGAAGCTCTGGTTCTATGAATGAAGCAATGGTCTGAAACTTTAACTGTAATGAAATACTGGATCCTAATGTTACCTTTCATCACAGGCAGAGATAGCACTTTTAGAAATTGTTTAATTACTGGAAGCATTCATTTATGTTTTAAGTGTTACTGGCACTAAATCCTCTTGCCTTCACTTGAATGTACAGTATACTGTAGATTTTTAACAAAACAGGTTCTATATTTATTGTGTGATTTGAAAATACCTCTTTGATATTTCAGTGACTTAAAGCGCAAAAACTTTATATATTTGTAAATAGACCAAGTGGTTATGCTGAGAAACCATGAAATTAAACACATGCGTACATAAATATTATTTTACATTGCATTTTAAATTGTTTTATAGTGATACTCAGTTTACAGATGCGTTAGGACTTTCAATGGTTCAGTCAGGAACCAAAGTCTTTTGAATGTGAACAATAAATGTGTAATTCTATCCTAAAAAGCCCTGGTTCTCTATTTTGTGTGCACTGAAGCTATAAGCTTTCATGGTTGTAGGACTGTATACAATGTTTACCAATCTGGTGCTGGTTTTGTATTATATTAATTTTTCCTTTTAATTGACTGCAGAATATTTTTTGTGTTGCCTTTGGGAAGTCTCTTGTTTATAATGTAATAAAAATAGCCAAGTAAAGGTAGGATGTTTCAGAGTCTCCTTCACCTGACTCAATGCATGTAATTTTCCTTGCCCAGTACAAGTCCATCTTGTCTCTTGTTGAGTTTTTGTGCATCTGTGATCACATCTATAGCTCTAATCCTGGCATAATTGGCCTTTTGGAAGGTGTCTAAGAAAATTCTGCCTTTCTCAGGGTCACAGGTGGGAAATTAACTCAAGCTTAGATTCCTTCACTGAAAATACATAGCTGCTCTGCCCATTTTCTTCAGAATTGGGTGTAATGTAGTGATTGGACTACACAGAAAAATAGCAGTGGAATAACATAGGGAAGAAAAGAAACTGGAGTTCTTCAAGAAGCTAAGGCAGAAAGCTGCAGTTTCTCCTTCTTAATTTAGTACACTGAGTTACTGCTTGAGATGAAGTAGTAGCCAATGTAAACTGCAGAGGATACTTGTGTGGTTTTCACATGGCACCCTTCAGGAAGCAGAAGTGGATGAAATTATATTCTTGGTTGGCTTTCTGCTGCATGGGTGGTAGTGGGGTTAGAAGGACAGAACATTGTATTTCTCTGTTTCTCCAGTTCTTCCCCAGTAAATGGGTGATCCCAGTCATGTTGTTTGCTGCAGGTGTTTGGAAGAGTACAGTTATTGCTGGGTTTCCCATAAATTGTTGGGTAGTCCTTGCCTGAATTTTAGTTATGGAAGAATAAAAACACATTCAAAAATATATGTAAATAAACAAAGTGAAAAATGTAATATACTAAGTGGGAGAACAGTACTGTGCATGTAGGGTTATGTTCAAGGCAGTAGGTGACTGAAGGCCTGTTAAGTCCATGGCTGAGGCAGGATCTGGATGCCACTAGGGGCTGCTGCTGCTTTAAGGTGAGCTTGGGGGTGCCTTATTGGGACACTTACATGCATTTGCTTTACTTGGGCCCTCTTTCTTCAGACTAGTTTTCTTCATGGAAGTAACTTTTAGGATAATAATGCCTTGAAGAACAAAAGTTACCTATTTATTCTTTTGTTTGTGTCTATAGAGTGATTAGCAAATAATAAACATTTTTGTAGTAATTCTTTGCTTTAACATTCTGTAATTCATCTTGTGGAAATGTGTTTGAATGCCTCCATGGGAAAAGCAACTGTGCTAGAAGGGTGTATGCAGTTGAGTTCTGAGCTGGCTTCAGGCCTGGAAGTCTGAGATACAGATTCAGTCCTGTTCCTGTAAAGAAGTCAAACATAGTTTTTGGATCACTCTATATATAGTGAGTGGAAAGCTTTTAAATCTGATGCTCCTGCTAATAGTGGTATGACTGCCACAGATGGTGACAGTGTAGTACTTCATGGTGTTGGAAACAACTGCAGGATCTTACTCAGAGACTGTTGAAGAACAGAAGGGGAGGCTTCTTGCAGGAATGTAGTACAGGTGTGTCACTTCACACAACTGTATATTTGAGGTAATAGAACAAGTGCCCTATCTAAGGAACAAGAAATACAGACTACCAGTGACTGATTACCATACAGCTATTGTTAGCTACCTATGCATGATATTGAAAAGATGAGTTGTTACCTAAAACTGTGGTGTTTTGTTTCATAAAAATCTTTAAATATAATATTGCTGCTTTTTCAGTCTATGATGGGAGTGCTTTTATCATAAATATTAGTCTGATTAGGTATGAGAACTTACTTTCCAGGATTATATTAGAACTGATAATTTTTTTCTCCTTCATCTGCAATGGTTAAGGATGATACAATGTAGTTTTTGCAATATAGACTGTATAGTGAAGAAACTAATAAATGAAAATTTTTCTTAAGAGAACTTTCTCCCTACAAAACAGCCTCTTCCTAATTTGAAGAACTGCCTCCACCAAATTCTGCAGACTTGTAGCAGGATAAAAATATTCCTATGTATATACAAACAAAAAAAAAAATCATATCTTAGCTTTTTGTTCAGGGTCATTCTATGTACACTTCAACCAGGTCAAGGTGACTGATATATTTAGATAATATCAATGCAAACATTATTCTTGAAAGGAAAATTGAAATATATGCAGGGTAATGGCTTTGCTGTATATATTGAATTAGCAGGTTAGTTATTACTTGTGCAGCTTTTTTTTTTTTTTTTTTTTAATTTGCAGTTATCACAAAGCTTTTGTGTGTGAAGGCTTTTGCAAAGACATCTTGGTTTTAGATTTTTCTCTTCCACTGCCCCCATCTGATTTGCAAGAGAAGTAGATGACAAGGTACTAAAGTTTGATGTAGTTGGATAGAAAAACTGATCTCAAAAGAAGTGTTTAAATTATCAGATTATTTATTTATTGCTTTCAAACAAAACATCTGATCTCTAATGTTAACTATGCCCTGCAAAGTTGCACTGCAACAAAAAAATAAAATCCCATGGTATATTTTTTGTTACATTTTTCATACTGACACAATGTTCGTGTTCCCTTATTCAAGTTTTGAGTCCAGTGGAATGCATAACAGGTAACTTTGTTTTGAAGAAATGTCTAACAATAAAAAATTAATTCTAACTATATGAAAGAGCTTGCCCCCTTTGTAATAAAAAGCTTGTCACCTGCGGCATAAAACATGCTTGTTCCCTTGAACATTATAGATTGATAGTCATGAAAAAGGAGACATTTCTTGCTAGTGTCTACCCCTCACCCCTCAAACATAGTTTTCTGCACTGAAGTGGGTGCCAGTTCCTTAAATAGAGGTCATGCAACCCAAGGTGGATTTACATCCCACATGGAATCTGTTTGAAAAAGTCAAGACTTTTGGAACTGACAACCCGGTAACAGCAACTGCTAATGGGAGACTGTAGAAACTGCTAGAATAAAAAACAAATGTTCATTTCTGGTTGGTTAAGTGACGTTTGCTACAACGCTTGCTCCTATGGTTAACCTTAAAACCAAAGGTAAGGTGGGAGCAGAAATAAAGTGTCTGATTATCCAGTATGTCATAGATGTTGAGTTTGAATTGGATTCACAGTTTTTGTGTGACTTAAAACCCATAGTTTATTGCATTGCCTGAATTTACTCGCCTGGAAACATCCTCCAACTTAGAAGTCTATGCATTTTTCTCACCTTTTTTTTTGTTGATCCAGATGCCACCCAGCTCACTTTGGGAGATTGTGGAACTTATCTGGGGGATTGACCAGACTCATTCTTCCCTTTCTGTGATTATCAATCTATTACCATAGTCAAAAAGGCCAAGTGTGTTTTGTGCATCTCTACTTGCCTCCATGGCCCTGATGTTTCTAGATCAGAACACTTCTGTGAGTGTGCCCTGGGTTGTCACTGTAAATTGATGATGAAGCTGGCTGCCAGCCTACATCAATTCAGGTACTTTGGCTGCATTTTGTGTTTAGCTCCTTAGGAAATGCAAAGTTCTAATTGATCTGCACTCCCATTCCCCCTGCTTTGCTGGGAGGAGTCTCTGTGGCTTTTAGCTGTTCAGATTTGGCTGTCATTTTACCTTGAAAGGTAAAATATTTACTGATGACTTATGAAATCTTTGTTCATTTAAAAAATATTCCTGGTCAGTGTGACCAGAGCTGAAAGGGCATACTAGTCCTCTCATTTGTTTAAATGAATATATGCACTCCATATATAGGGGTTTTCAGTAGAATGTTAAATGTGCTTTGGTGCACAGAGGAATATAATAGCAAGGGGCTATCTGTCCTCATCTCCTGTCCAGTGGAGGGGGGGTGGTGTCTGTAAACCAATGCTGAGGGAAGAGGAAGAACACTGTTAATGTGTTCTGTGATACTGACTGCATTAATTGGGCCGCTATCATCTAGATGTCAGTTTGGGTCACATGCCAGGTCAGCATAACCTGGGCAAAATCAAGGTAATCTGTGGCAGACCAAATACAAGCAGACAGCTGTGACACAACCTAGGAATTAAGTAATGTGTTTACTGTAAATTCATTGTAAATGACCTAGTAAAACTTATTAGGATAAGTAGAGGCTTTTACACAGTTCTGCAAAGGGCTTATGAGATAATCAATGAGACGCCAAGGTATGACTTGACTTCCATTATTCCATCTGAAGAGAAAGTATGATTGCAAAAAGGAAAGTGTTTACATAAACTGATAAAGAACTTGAGAATTCAGCAGAATGCAGCCACGTGTTCTTGAGCTTTCTTCCATAAAAGTCTCACCATGTCTGGCAGAGCTTCATTCGCCTTCACTATGAGGGGAATCATATTTGTACTAGCACTCACCCTTGTAGGTAAGGCTACATATCTCTTCACCTTTCCCAAAATGTCTTTCAATTCTCTGAACAGCGACTGGATCTAGATTGAACATTACTTATTTGCTTTTCCATCTCTTTTTGCAGGTAGCCAGAAGTTTGACTTTGGTGAGTAAATTTCCTTCTATAACCTTTTCCCTGTGACTTTACTGTTATATCTATTGATTAGAACATGCTTGCGAGTATTGTCAAAATGGCTATTATTTCCCACAGACCCTGGATTCAGTAGTGGAAAGAGCTACTTGTACAGTTATGAAGGCTGGATGTTGAATGGGCTTCAAGAAAAGAATTTAGCCAAAGCTGGCGTGCGCCTAAGCAGCAAAGTAGAGATCAGTGGGCTGTCAGAAAACACTTACCTCCTCAAGGTACCGTGCCGTCTTTCAAATGTGCCATGCAACATAAACTAAAATCACAGTTGTAATTGTACCTGGCTAATCTGGTGTGTAGGAAAGCTGCAGGAAACACAACTGGAGACTTACCACTGTAGATGTCAGAGAATGATCTGCAATCTACAGTTTCAGAAGTGAGGAGACACTGGTGTTTATTGTGGAAGTTGTTTGTAGCAGGTGTTCTTTGAGACTTTGTATCAGAAATACAGTTGCCAGGGGTTCTGTTAGAAAATGGCTATTTCTAACTCAAGACATTTAAGCCTGCTCAGAGTTTAAGATTTGATTCTAGTCTCAGCACACATTTCCAGCTCCTGTGAGAAGCCAGGACTCGGGTGTATAAAATCATTGTCATGAAGGCAACTGATAAACATAGACTTAAAATGCTATAAGAACTAAAGATAAGATAAAAAGTGATATGTGATAAGAGTAAAAAATGAAAGTAATCAAAAAGGAGTATGTAATAATGTTTAGTGTATGAATAGTGCAGTAAAAGATGGGGATGTGTGAAATCATGCCTTGCTGATGTCAGCAGTGATACAAGCTGATTCATTCAAAGTGGATATGTTTTGGAAGAATACTTTTGTCTGTTTCATTCAGTTTAAAATCAGAGCTTCTTTTTCAGGCATTGAATTCTGTGACAGAGCTCTCACTGATTGTAGTGGAGCTGTAGATCTCTCAAAATTATGGGCTAGGTGTTGCATTTCACACTACAGTCTTTATCCTGAAATTTTTATGTGTGTGCACTAGGTTGTGTTCTGAGGCACCAAAACTGGCAGTAACTTTGCCCAAGTTACTGAAACTGCTTCTTATTTACCTTCTATCTCAGTGTGTATAAATATATTGTTCATTATTAAAATATTTGGGGTTTATTTAAGCAATTCACTAATACAAATCAAATATAGTGACTCATTTGGTAAAAGAAAAACTGTATGGGGACATGATATAAACTTTTTAAATGTTAAATTTTACCTAAAGCAAAATATTTATTTTAAGGCTGAAAAAAGGGAGATTTTTATTTGAATTTTTTTAATTGCATTTTTAATCATCCTTTTTCCCTATAAAGTAAATGCAAGTAAAAAGTTGAAATGTCTCTGAAAGATAATAGCAATATGTTATCTATGTCTGTAAGATAAAATAACACTGCTGAGCCCCCAGGTTTTGCACTGGTTTTACAATAGTGTAAGGAAGAGACAAAAGAATAAACTTCTGTATGACTTACGAAGCCTACATTTAGAAGGAAAGAGAATCTCACTAGTGGTTATGTTAATTTCTTCCAATCCATTTGCATATTTAGTATCAAAGGAATTTTATTCTCCTAAGTGTCTTTTCTGAATTTCTTCACAGATCCGCCCTCCACAATTTGAGGAATACAATGGCATCTGGCCCAGAGACCCATTCACTCAATCCTCCAAAATCACCCAGATGGTTTCCTCATGCTTTACCCAGCCCTTCAAGTTTGAATACAATAGTGGACGGGTTGGAAACATTTATGGCCCAGAAGACTGTCCCAAGACTTGCATTAACATAGTGAGAGGAATACTGAACATGATACAGATAACTATTAAAAAGTCGCAGAATGTGTATGAATTGCAAGAGGTTTGTTTTTTTCCATTCTAAAACTACTTTATTGAAAGATTGTGTTTTATTTATTAATTAATTTATGTTCTCTTTAATTATTCTTCCTTTGAGTTTCTGCTTATTTGCAGCTACTTTCGAATGTTCGTAGCAAGAAAAAGATGGTTTTCATTCATATAGAGGAACATGTGTGCATATGCGTTGAACAAATTATCTGTGCTGAATTTTTTCTAAGACGTCTGTCTTTAAGTCTTAACATGCAGTCCTTTGGAGAAAAAAGAATTATTAACTATGAGTTTATTTGTTATATGCTTCACTCATACAACTCCTTGATCCATTTTATTTGTTAATTGTTGATATTAATTAATTACTTTTTTTATTTTAAACTCCATCCCCTGACTGAGTATTGTTCATGGGCCGATACTTTAGTGCAATAGGAATAATTGTGTGTAGTGGCAACAGCTTTCAAAACATAATTAAGACTGTTCAGTAGGTACTAACCCTCTGTTCTTCAGAGTCTTCATTCAGTAAAACTTCTTCTCACACAGTGAAATCCTGATATAATTGGGAAGTCTCATTATCTGTGTTCATCTGCCAGGCTGGAATTGGAGGTGTCTGCCATACAAGGTACATCATCCAGGAAGACAGGAAGAACAGCCGGATCTCTGTTACCAAAACTGTAGACCAAAATAACTGCCAGGAAAAAGTGGTGAAGAGCGTTGGAATGGCTTACATCTATCCTTGTCCTGTTGACATGATGGTATGTGAGACGTGAAAAAATCTTCCTAGTTACAAGCATGGCCATTCTGAACCCATTTGCTCTTTTTACTCTGTCCTCCTACAGAAAGAAAGGCCCATAAAAGGGACTGCAGCTTTCTCCTACAAACTGAAGCAGTCAGACAGTGGTACCCTGATCACAGAAGTGGTGTCTCAGCAGGTGTATCAGTTCTCACCATTCAGTGAACCCACTGGTGTTGCTGTCATGGAAGCAAGGTAGGTAGAACACAGGCTTGTTTCACAGAGTGAGAATAATTATAGGTTCTATCACTCCCTTTCTCTTCCAATTGAAGTGAAATGAGAATGGAGCTCCATAGGAGTTGGATAAAGGTCTAAGTGCTCACTGTTGGGGTTTCCACAGTCCTTAAAGTTCAACCAACTGTTCTTTATTTGTACTATGATCAAGCTGGCACTACAGCTACGTGGAAGAAAAGGAGAAAAGCTGTTTTTCTCACTTATACCATAAGAATGCAATTTGACTGTTCCGCTTGTCCTGAAAAAGGACTAATTGATAGTGTCAGGAGGAAGATGGTGCACATAGAAAT